CTGACTTTATCCACTTGTGGCTTTATAACCCCACCTCCAACTGTGAAACCAAGGTACTGCGTCTCCATTTTGGCCAGGGAACACTTTGCTGGGTTGACTGTGAGACCATCAGTCTGTCCAGAACTGTCCTCAGATGTTTCAGGTATTCTTCCCAGGTTCCACTGTAAATGACAATGTCATCAAGATACACACTGGCATAATCAGCTAGACCATACAGTACCTGGTCCATCAGTCTTTGGAAAGTGGCAGGTGCTCCATGAAGACCAAACGGCAGAACTGTGAACTCAAACAGCCCCTAGGATGTGCAGAAAGCTGTTAACTCCCTTGAACCTTCATTGAGAACAACCTGCCAATAGCCCTTAGAGAGGTCAATAGTGGATAAATATTTAGCTTTCCCCAGACGCTCTATAAGTTCATCCACCCGTGGTGTTGGGTATGAATAAAACTTTGAAACAGAGTTCAGATACCTGAAGTCAGTACAGAACCTTATGGTGCCATCCTTCATGTCAGCCACATTCTCCCAGTTGATTGCACTCCACAGCATTTATTTTGTGAGTAAGACAAGAGTAAGCTTACTTTTCAATTGACTAAATATGATTTTCAAGTTTTAGGTCTGAAATCCAAAGACACACTCAGGCTAACTGAAGTTAACCCCATTGGGTTAAGTGCAGATTATCTGCAGCAGTTTGGGGGACAAAAACACTGGTTCACAGCTTGTCTACATTGAGCTGTCTGAATAATTTGACCTATCCATTGATTTGCATTTGGAAGACACTCACTAATTTTGGCTCACTAGAGGGAGTGAGATATAAAGCTGTGTGTCATCAGCATACATAGTTAGATTTGCAAAGCACTTTGGAATTTGAGCTGTTATTTCTTAAATAAAAGTGACCCAAGAATAGACCTTTGAGAAACCAAGATTTAGTTCATGTTGCCCTTGATTTACAATAAAAAAGGACAAAAAGAAGTCACTTCCAGCTTGATCAAATCAAAACTCGTTTAGCTTTACCGTCTCCAGGTTTTCCAGAACTCTGCTGCAAGGCTTTTAACTCACATTAACAAAAGAGAACACAGCTCTACCAGTATTAGCAGCTCTGCACTGGTTACCAGTCCAGTATAGAATCCAATTTAAAATCCTTGTTCTTACATTTAGAGCCCATCTCTGGTTTGATAGAGCTCTACACTCCATTCAATAGTCTGAGGTCATCGGGCCAAACATTGTTAGTGGTTCCACATGCTCATTTTAAACCAGAGAGGATCGTTCATTTCAGGCATTGGCTCCGAGGCTGTGGGATGCTTTGCTCCTTCTTTACGCTGTATGAAGTCTGTTAATTCTTTTATAAAGTAACTAAAGACACTGCTATTTTAGCAGGCTTTTAATTAGACATGTGGTTTTTATGGCTTTGTGCGTTTCCATGTGTTTTTAAAATGTATATCTAAATTGTATTTTTTTTATTGTATTACATTTTGACTGTGAAGCACTTTGTGATTTTTATCTGTGAAAAGAGCTATACAAATACATTTTACTCATTTATTTATTTAGCACAATACCAGGTGATGCAAACCATTTTTTTAATTAATAATCATCTTAAGATCAACTGTGTCAAATGCATTACTGAGATCAAGCTGTACAAATAGAAGCTCTACAACCATTACTGTTAGGATGTACAGAGAAATAATCAAAACTTTTATTGTTGAGGTCTGCCTGTGTGGAAGACTAATAAGGAGACCAAAATAAGAAAAATGATTCAATTGTTTAACAGTTTTGAAACCCATGACAAACATTTTAGCGATCATGTTATTATCTATATCAAAACAAGCCAATATAATTGCATGCTTTCCATTCTATGCATTAAAACCCAAGAAAAACTTTGCAAATAAATATTGCAAAGGCACCATTTTGCAACCGACTCAGTGAGGTACAGCGATTACAGCAGTTATGGTTTGTGTCAAACTTTGTGTGAATTAGTGGTTGCAGATTATCTTGGCCACATTGCAAGCTAAAAAAAAAACCCACAATGTTCATGCTGACATTACCATGTATTTCTCTCCATCGTGTCCATTTAAACAATAAAAACATACTTGAAATATAGTATCAATAGTGTTCAGTTCCACTAGTTATTTTACTGCTGCCTTTTTTTTGTGCAGCTATTTATGACTTACACTTATCTAAACCAGCACCTATGAGCTTTTTTCATTTTCATTTATTCAAATGCTAAAGAAACACTCTCAG